ATATTATTATTATTATTATTATTATTAAAAAAAATTGACCTTTTTTGAGAAAGTTCACACAATCTTAAAATGTAGAGTTAAGGTGCACCTCAAAATCTATCAAAAAATTTGTTTTGATGTTTGAAAACCATATGATTGATAATTTCGATATTGAGATGTTTGAATAAAAAAACAAGATTTTGAGTCTTGAAAATAGTACATCTTGCGACAAATTATCTCGACCATCCATTTTCAAGATTTTTATGTATTTATAGATTTACTTGATTTTAGAGTTTAAAATTTATAATTAGTTATGGAAATGGATTTTTAAATCACATTGAGAATTTTTAACACCAAAATTAAATCTTATGATAAAATTTAGAGGTGCACCTTAATTTAATTATTTAAAGTTGCAACAGGTAAACACATTTTTTTGTTTGTTGTCTAAGGCTCAGACAACAATGCCCAATATTATTAATGGGGTGTGGTTTGTATAGAGCTCAGGCTCTAAACAATCAAATTTGAGTCCGGGAAAGGAAAATATATATCTATTCATAAAAAGAAAAGAGGAAAATATATGTTGTATGTCAAGTTAATATGAAAAGCGTATATTGTAATCTATATATTTGAAAATGGTAGATATAATATACTGTAATCCGTACCGAGACTTACCATAAATACAAGACATTGTATCTACCCTTCCCAAATATACATATTACAATATAAACTTTCCATATTAATTGGATATACAATATATATTTTCCTTTCATAGAACCCATCTTCAAATAGTATCAAGAAAAATGATTTCAATACGGGAAATCTTTTTGATAGCCTTAGAATATATTTTCAGTTTTAATTATAAAACTTAAAGCTTCAAAAATAGTATATATCGAGCAGATCTATGACAACTTGAAAATGTTGAAAATTGATAGTCCAAACGTACGCTACAAGATGCACTATTTATAAAACTTGAAATCCATTTTTTTTTCATGTACACGCATCGTAATGTCGAGATGATCAATTTAAGGATATTTGATAATCAAAACAACTTCTTCTAATGAAATTTTTGATGTGAGCTTCAATTTGATTATTTAGAACCTCTGCTCCGTATAAATTTTTCATTTATCCTTTTTTTCATCTATTTTCTAAGGGAAGAGATTTGCGAACTTAGGCATTTGTGGATTGATTAAAATAACCATGTTCTTTATCAAGAATGACGGGAATGTCCTCAAAATGTTTTTATCAAGAGCACAACTCCCTTTATAGTAGGGTGCGGTTTCTATAATGTTGCAACCTTAAACGATCCAATTAAAGCACGTCTCCAAATTTTATTGAAATATATAATTTTGGTATAAAAATTTCTTAGGATTATCTCAAAATCTATTTTTATATCTAATCATAAAATTTAAAAACTTAAAAAATGGTCAAAATCAAGTAAATCAATAAATATATGAAAAACTTGAAAATAGACGGTTTAGATAATGTGTTGCAAGATGCTCTATTTTTAAGACTTAAAATATTTTTTATTTTATTTTATATTCATACATCTCGATGCCGAGATGATAAATTAGAGGGTTTTTCAACATCAAAACAATATTATCCGATGGATTTTTTATGTGCATTTGTAATTCTACATTTTAAGGTTCCAACCTTATATAAACTTTTTCCTTATTGTTAATATTGGAATTTCCTTCTTCTTTTTTTTAATGCTGAGGGAAAGAGATTTGTGAACTTAGGCAAACCGAGTGCACATATCTATGCAATATAACATACGTGTGATATATGCTTGACACTTCAGATACATGGATACTTCTTTTGATGGTAGATAAGCGGGAAAGAGGTTCCTTACCAAGTTGAATTGAACTCTGGACGTCATATTGTGGCGACTCTAACTACAATGCCTTGACTCTATTTGTAACTCTTTTCATTTTGAAATATCCTATTAAAATTATTTAGTGTGAGGGGAGGACGTGAGACTTAGGTGGTCAAAGTGGCGGAGACGATATCTCTGGTTTCATTCCTGACGAGGATAGCAAAAAAAAATAAAAAATAAATGTTAATGTCATTTAAAATCCCTCCTCTTCTAATATCGTATGTACCTGCTTAGTCACATTTCCCGTAAGTATGCAAAAAAGAAAAATAGTTACGCGAAGGGGTTTTCAGTTAGGCAAAAAAGGTTGAATACATCTTTGAATCGACACAAGAGAAGTAGAGCATCTTGCAAGTATTAAAACGAAGTTGAAGACTTTGCTCTAAAAGGTTCCATCTTTAATCATGCATCGTTTAAGGACAAAAGGCTATACTATTGCATACTTTATTTATCGTTGTTTACTTTAAGCTTTGGAATGTTTTTGGGTTCGTGGATCTTACTTTTTTTATGGGCAAGAAAAAGGGATATTTGTAATTGTTATTTCAAAATAATCCACTGCATTGTACACAGACAAAACCCATATTACTTTCAGAAGTTTGTCAAACTCCAGCCGCTTAAACATGAGGATTGTATACTGCGAGATCATTTATGAATTGTTCTAAAGAGGTTACAGTCACTTATAACCATAAGGTGTAAAATTGGACGGTTTGAGGTGTATTATGAAGTTCAAAAAATATATTTAAACATTGAATCTAATCAATGACACGCTTACAACTACTCGATTTAAAATATGACGGGCAAAAATGATTATGACCTCATACTAAAAGTTCATCTTTTCAGTTTCATCTAGATTTTTTTTTGGTAAATGTTAGCATAAAAATTTAGACTATTTCGAACAAGGTTGCGTATTTCTCAAGAGATTTATCTCGTAGGAGATGCATCTCTCAAAGAGATGCATTTCAAGGTACTAAAACGGACCCTGGCTTTTGGGAGATTATGAGTCTCCCATTATTCATAATTTCTTGAATTATTTTTTGGGAAATCTTCTGTCTGACTCCAACTTGACCAAGTTAGACATAAGGAACTCGGACTTCCAAAAACTTGTGCTAGACTAAATTCTCTACTCATTTAGATAATGTAAACCATGGCCCTACCCCCGTAATGTATCACATGAGAACCATTTACAAAGGAAAAAGTTTATATAAGTTGCCACTTATTGAAGCAAGATTGTACAAATTGCAATAATTATTTTATTTGGACGGTATCGATTGGACATAGTTAAAAGACATGTTATTTATGGACATTGTCTTAAAAGACAGATTAAATGTCAACCGTCCATTTAAAATGGACGGTGTAGAGCATGGCAGCTTTATTTCTAGAAGTAAGATTACAATTTTATACGAAACTCCACCAGACTATAAATCTTTAAGTAGCTATATCATTTTATTCATTTTAAATTGTATTTCACCATAATGTAATGAACTCGGGCCTCTTTGTGACGAGAAAGAGGAACGTTCAAAGAATAGGAAACTTTTCTAGGTGTCTCCGCATATAAATCATAAGTGGAGATCGCAACCATTTGATCCTAATTGAAGGACTTGAACTTAGTAGAAAATAATGCCATAAGATGACAATAACTATGTTTGCTAAATAATGATTAACCTGATATTATTATAAACTTATTCTCAATTGTCTTACCAAAATCAGATAGCTAAATATTTTTATATACAAAAATTAGATTGCATATTTCACTTGCTAACAGGCCCAGGCCGGCCTGTAGGATTTTAGGCTTGGCTTAAAGCCAACTTGGAAATTTATTATTATTAATGTTATCATAACCATCATCGTCATCATTCTTGTTAGAAAAAATTGTCAAAATACTCATAAGAAATGAACTATTAAATACTAAACTCATATTTTTTTATTTAATTTCAAAATACCCATGAAAAAACATATGATCATCAACTAAGAAAGTTGGTGATAAAAATTTATTAATAATTATAAAATATATTACATTTTAGATATAAATTGAGCCCATTCGGATGGGCCAAATTTTTTCAGGCCAGGCTCGAGCCTAAATATTCTATAATTCAAATAAGACCAATCCTGGTAAAAAAACTATACTATTTGGGCCAAGTCAGGTTGGCCATCAGTTTTGGGACTCGCCTGCCCAAACAAACTCGACTACCACTCGCGCATC